ACAAGAATCCAACGCGAACTAGATGAACAAGCCAAAGGACGTGACTACGTGACCCTGGGAGAGGGCGAGGACCTGCCCTTAACCAAGGCAGCCATAATGGAATCGCAGCGACTCCGCAGTGTTGTTCCTTTGGGCATTCCGCACGGCGTCTCTCAGGTAAGACGGGCGAGGCGGAGATACGGAGGGAAAAGAGATAGGGCGGATGGGTGAAAGGGACTGGGAGGACGTATGGACCTAAAAGGAAAAAGGGAGGGGAAGGGGAAAAGAAGGTACGAGAAAGGGGAAAGGGAAAAGAGGGTACGAGAAAGGGGAAGGGAAAGAGAGGTAGAAAAGGAAGAAAATGAGGAAGGGAGGATGTACGGATGTAGAGAGAGAGAGTGAGAGAGATGGATGGAAGGGAAGAGACGAAGGGCATATGGATAGAAGAGAGTGCAGAAGACGGGAACGGGAGAGTGGGGTAGAAAAAGAGAAGGAAGAAGAAAAGGAGCAGACGAAAGGAAAATAGAGAAAAACACTGAAAGAGTAGGTGAACTGGGAAAGCTAATAAGATGTTTCGTGAGGTTTGGTGAGGATGGTAGAGAAAGTAATAGAAGGTGAAAGGGAAGGGTGAAAAATCGAGTAGGATTGGAAGGGCAGAAAAGAAAGTGTATAAGAGAAGAGAAAATGGGGTACAGGAGGAACAGATAGAAGTAGCTAAAGCAATAGAAAGAAAAATTGGAGACTGAGGAGATATAAGCGCAGAGATAAAGATATATATATATATATATCGAGGAGAGAGGAGAGAGGGAAAGGGGAGAGAAAGAGTGCCATGGAGGGAGGAAGGGAAATAGAGAGAAAATGGGAGAGGGAGTGAAATAATTAGCAGAGGAAGGGGAGAAAAGGAGGAATAGAGAGAGGGAGGGAGGGAGAGAGAGAGAGAGAGAGAGAGAGAGAGAGAGAGAGAGAGAGAGAGAGAGAGAGAGAGAGAGAGAGAGAGAGAGAGAGAGAGAGAAAGAGAGAGAGAGGAGGAAAACGAAGAAATAGTGGGGTGAATATAAGCACTGAATGTTTACTGGAAAATTGAAGGAAAACCGAGAAACAAGGTGAGAGTGACAGTTTGGTAGATCGATAGATGAAGAGAGCGAGAGAGAGAGAGAGAGAGAGAGAGAGAGAGAGAGAGAGAGAGAGAGAGAGAGAGAGAGAGAGAGAGAGAGGGAGGGAGGGAGAGGGAGAGAGAGAAGAGAGAGATGGGGTGACAGCGTGAGGGAAAAGAATGACAGACCATGGGAAAGAGAAAGTTGGAAACAGCGAGAGTGCCAAAAGTAGGGACGAGCAGGAGCAATCCAACTCGTTTATCATGATTACTCGCAAACAAATTACCCCTTTCATTGCAACTAACCAAGACATCCTGGCATTGGTTCGCTTGCTTACTTTGTTGTACCTCCGCCATGTAGGAATTGCGCGTGGCTGGCTACAGGGTTCCCCGAGACACCATGATCCTACCGCTTCTCTGGTTCGTCCACCACAACCCCGACACTTGGCCCGATCCGGAGCTGTATCGACCCGAGAGGTTTCTCGACACGGAAGGCCGCGTGCTCAAACATCCGGCCTTCATGCCCTTCCAGACGGGTGAGTGTTATTGATGATGTTGTCAAAGTCTTTTCTAATGTGATATGCGGCTTGAGGATTGGTGTTGGTGGTAGGTAATATATAAACGGCAGTAGGTAATATTGGCTTGCAACTATAAAATAATGATGTTTAACAGGATCTGAATCTGATATAGTGACTAGTTTAAAGAAGTGGTGAAGTAGGTGTTCAAATAATGGTACACTGTGTCATCTACGTCTTGTAATGGTAAAGTTTGCTTCAACCTGGTGTATTACTAAAATTGGTATAACAAAAATTTCAGTTCGAAAAGTAATAGCTTTTATGGGTCGCCTCTAACCTTGCCGATAAGAAACAGGTTTTTAAAGTATCGGGATAGTTTGTAAGAACAGTTAGATATACGCATTATTTTTATGTCAGTTTAACTCATACGACTATTCACGCCAAGGTTATAGACATTCCAACTTCCCCAAGGACGTCTTTTGGCAGGGCGTTAGATGTGACAAGTGTTCACAAGAATCGGGGTCAGGCAGGCAGAAACAATAGTCTTGCTATGACAGAACAGTGGACCGGAAAGGTGCTAGGTACCGATGGCGGTGGTCATGATAACAATGGCAGTGCCGATGGTGAACATAAAAAAAATGATAATTTAATGTCCATGAACCGTCTACATGACCATAACAGTGAAAAATGTGTATATTTCTAGTGATCATAACAAAGCACTTCATATATCATACTTCCAGGGAGTTCATTAGTTCTAGAATTTATATTATTTTTATACTGAAATTATTATCATTACGATCAATATGTTCTCATACTGCAGGAAAAATCAGATTCTTATACAGCAAGTGAGGCTAGATATTTAAAGGACTTCTTAACCGTCTCGTGATTAGGGACTTGTATGCCTGCTTTTCGCCAGATATACCTTAAAAGCCCTTTATACAGCGTCTGAGGCCCTTTGCTGTGCATTTTAAGGAAGATGATTCTTCACCATCATCAGAAACGAGGCATCCAGTCAACCTCGATACGGAAACAAAATTGGTTTTACAAGTGACTGAACAGAGATTTAGTTGCTACTGTAACTTACATCGGGGAATACTAAGAATTTCTTAAGACGACATTGCGGAGTAATGTTCAACCATATTTACCGTAATTCTTCATTTCTAGAATAGTGCGATTATGAAAAAAAAAAATGGAAGGCCTAAATTACACAATAAAAAACAGTGACAGAAGCAAATGACTCCTGGTATCTTGTGTGCTGTAAGCGTCAGAAATTGAAGGAATTTACGTCAACGAGAGAGAGGTAAGGTTTTGTCATTCCGAATTCAACAAGATGTCTCTAGGCGAGAAGCAGGTCGTTAATGAGTCGTACTGACAAGAGAAAAGAAGCAACCACCCGAAGATGAATGCATTATGGGGGTGGCGTTGCCCATGATGGCTGAATTTACTATGGTGTATATGTCGTTCTGGTGTCTGCAGATGGAGTAGCTTTGAGTTTGTTTTTCTGTGATGACAATGCACTTACGTAACTAAGGGTAGACTTCTCGGTGATGCAAGTTGTAGTAGTAACGCTTCTATAAATAAAATATATGGTCTTACAGCTGTGTTTTCAATGGGCATCTTGATTATCTTAAAAATGAAAACGTAACTCAAGCTGCAACTCCCATCACTCATATTTTTCCTTGGTGAATCATGCACAATATAAACTAGTTTTTATTCTTGAAAACTGATATTTACAATCGGGGTATGAGGCCAAGAGACTATCAAAAAGGCAGAATGTTGTTTTACTTCACAGCATCAAAGCAAAAACTGAATCCATTGTTGCAGCAATATTTTAATCCAAATTAAGCTCTAGAATTCAAAATAATTTGTGATTTCTGCAGGCCGTCGCAGGTGCATCGGGGACGAGTTCGCTATGATGATCCTGTTCATATTTACGACCCGGATCCTGCTCAAGTTCAGAATCAAGCTCGAGGACGAGTTGAAGGGCGACCCATCCCAGGAACCAGTGTGTGGCATCACGCTCTCCCCGAGGCCCTTCAAGCTGGTGTTCGAGCCGCGGGAGTCGAAATGATGGCGATATTGCATGCGCAGGCACCGTGGCCAAGTCCACACTGTATGGTTGTGATATCCTTGGAAGCTGTTACTGGAATGTTTTGAATAAAAAATGTATTCCACAACTATTTAGAAATTTGATAAGCCTAAGCCGCATTTATTTAAACTTCTAATGTTAATTTTTACTATACAATTGTTATGAGCCTTGCAATTATGGACACATTATGGTATGCACGCGTATGCACATGCTGATAACAACGGACAAGCAATTATTTTATTTTTTCTCGCTCAGAATATTATATAATAAAAAGTTTCTTTGTATTTTGTAAATCCAATTTGAAAGTTCCGAAACTTGTTGATCTAACTGGCTCGAGTTTGTTTGATCCTTATTTTATATATTTATTATTTTTTTTATCGAACTTTCCAGAACTATTAATTTGCTTTCTTCTGTGAGGCAATATATTTTAGGCTTAATAGTGTATCTTAATTCTTTGTATTCTGATACCCCTAATTATGCAGTCTTTTTGCAATTACCTCTTCCAAGAATCAAAAGGCTGTTCATAACTTGAAATCAAATCTTAGAATCAGTTCATTACCAGCAGCATATAAAACATGTACCATAGTTTCAGTTCATTACCAGCAGCATATAAAACATGTACCATAGTTTCAGTTCATTGCCAGCAGCATATAAAACGTTGTTGAGCAGAAACACTGTATCTAATGACAATAAACCTTCCATTTTTCATTTCTGTAAAATCAACCTCCAAATCAACATAAACGAATACAAGAAAAGTACATAAATATTAGTCGTTCTTCAAATTTACGTAAATGTGGACATAGTAAAGAAAAAAAAGTGCATAATCTGGAGAAGCACGGATGCCAGAAGAACGCGGTAGCAGAGGTGTCCTAGCTACCTAGCCACCGACATGTCTCCTTCTCAGAAAAATAAACAATAACAAAGAGGAAACATTAACTTTGACGTCGTGCCCGCCTTCGTAGTAGATGTACCTGATAAGAGAACCATTGTACAAGATAAGACGAAAAAAATACAAACGTTTTTGGTGTTAACTTTTTTCTGGAGTTCACCTTGAAGTTAGTGACATTTGGCACGGTCTCACTGAGGCAAGGCATGCGTCATCTACACATGTTACACAGCATAAAAAGCAACGCGTCTTCCGCACCAAACAAAACTTTGGTGTAATCAGCTTCAGCATATAACCACAACATGCACAGTACACATATACCACATAAATTCACCTTTATAAAAAGAATAATACACATACAAAAACATACATACATACACACGCGCTACTGTGCACACACTTTGTAAATACAGAAGCACATTCATACATACATGTAAACAGACACATAAATGTACATGAATCATGTATTTTAAATATAAAACATTTAATGAATGATATAACGTAATGCAATACAACAGGTTAAATATATACATGTGTGTTTGTGTATGAATATATATATATATATATATATATATATATATATATATATATATATATATATATATATATGTGTGTGTGTGTGTGTGTGTGTGTGTGTGTGTGTGTGTGTGTGTGTGTGTGTGTGTGTGTGTGTGTTTGTGTGTGTGTGTGTGTGTGTGTGTTTACATATATGTATGTATATATATATGTATATGTATGGATATATATATTAACACACACACACACATCTATTTATACATATATATACAACTTAGTTACAACTAAGATAGTAGGTGGGGGTAACTCGGATGTCTACCTCTCAATCAAAAACCATGACTGCACAAACAGAGCAACGGGCTTCATTCCTCGGAGGGGAAGGAGCCCCTGGTTACGGCGGCGATCAGGATTGCTCCGGAGCAGAGGGTGCTAAAAATTCCCGGTTAAAAACAGGCCGACCCACGTTGATAAACCTTTGCACATACAATGTAAGGACAATGAGGACTGTATCCGACTTGCTAGCATTACTTGAGGAACTCTCTTTCATTAAATGGGATGCTGTAGGAGTTTGTGAAGCTAGAAGGTGAAGAACCGAAGATACTGATAGACACGTGCTCTATTGAAGAGGTAAACTCCAGGGTAGTAAACAGGAATTAGGGATAGGTTTCTTAGTTCAAAGAATGCAAGTGGTTTCAAAATACTTGTGCCAGACCCACCCATCAGCAAGGAACCTCTCACCCTGAGATTAGGGAGGTGATTTCTAACCAAAGTTCATCAATTGTCTTTTCACTTATATGACTTTACAAGTGCTTAGTCACCAAGGAGTCTTTAATGTTATTATTATGTTAATAGCATTTCAAAAACCATAATGTAATTAAGAATAAATATATCAATATTAATTCTTCTTAGAGCCATATCACAAGACTTTGGTGATCATGTTTCGCCACATTTCTCTGTTGTTAGCCGTGCACATTAGCTCTGTCTACTTGTTTGTTATACCGTTTTCTTGGGTCCATCCAACAAGGCTAGTCATTCATAGTATGCTCTTCCTTCCCCTGCTTCTCTTCCCTTCTACTTTTCCATCTAATGCCAGGTTTTCAAGTCCCCCTTTCCGAAGAACATGCCCCATAAAACGCATATCTAATTCTGATGTCCTTAATAAACTTTCTATTCACACATCTCTCACAATGACTTACATACAGTCTGGTTTTCATACTCTTCTTACAGTTTCTCAACATGTTATCCAATTTTTGAATGCAAAGTTTGCTAAGGTGATCCTTCGTTTGATTTCTGCACCACAACTAGCATCTTCGGTTATTAGGCTTCCTAGATGGTTAAAAGATGAGTCTTCCTTATTTTTTTTATTACTTACTCTCAGCGCAAGCATGGGGTGTTCTTTTTTCTTTGAGACGACTAAACATTCTGTCTTCTTGCAGTTTATAGCCAATCCCTTTTTCTTAGTCTTTTCTACAACAACATCAAGAAGCTTTTGTAGACCACTATCAGATTCGGCAAAAAAAAACTGTATCATCTGCATATTTGATGTTTGTGATATTGCTTTCTTCTACCCTCAACGATAGCATCCCCTCATTGGACTCCATGGTTGGTGTGGGGGGGGAGTGAAGAAATGAAGAATTCTAATTTGTATGATTCTACAAATTTACAACGAACTAGCTCTCTCCCTGACAGCCTACACAATCCACAGGCCAATCCCTCTGGAATGTCACATGTCACTCTGGAACCTCTCCAGTTTCCAAAGGGCAAGAATGAGAATCGTAATGGTTCCCGGGCTCCCAAACCAGGTAAGGAGAAAAGTCCTCCTCAATCCATTAAGGGAATCTTACCTATTAAATATGAAAGTATCTCATATAGTAAATACCTAGTAGTGAAGACCATTGATAGTGTATCAATCATGGATCTCGATATTTTTGAAGAACATCATAAGATAGTTGAAGTGTGTCTACGTGATCCTTGCATCATGAGAGTTGAAGTTTCGTCACTAGACAAGAGTGGCCATCTGCATATGATATGCAACATTCCTGGGTCTCATGTTCTCCTCACTAAACACTCAATCAGTGTACTTTCCCGAGACCTGATGAAATATTCTAAGGTGAAACTGTTAAAGGAACTAAAAAAAAAAAAAATAATATAGTGACAGCAAAACATTTTGAGAAGAGAGTTGATGGTTTGGAACAGTCGACACCAGCTCTCCTAACTTTTGAAATGTTAGTTCATCCAGAATCAGTTAAGTTGGCATGGTACTACCTCAAGGTAAAGCCATATGTGCCCAACCCTATACAGTGCTTCCACTGCTAGGGTTATGGGCATGGAACCAACTCTTGTCGTTTTAGGGAAAATGGACAACCAAGAGTGTGTGTAAAGTGTGGTACAACAGGTCATCAAGGAGATGACAACTGGTAAGTCCTTTGCCTCGGTTCTAGCCCATCCTCCTTCCTGCCATCCGTTGCCCTCCAATACTGCTTCCACCACACACTGCCAATACCTCCAAACTTCAGTCCTCAAATACTGAAACTACCTCTGGGGAGTTGTCCCACCAGAAATGGAGTAGGAGTCATGGGTCTATTGGGGAGACTCCTCTTCCCAAAGTAAAGTCTTTGGAGCCATCAGTCAAAGCTCCAGAGGCCTCAACGGTGACAGCTTCAGCTGCCACCACATCCACAGGAGCCTCTGCTGCTAGGCAGAATGCCCCTGAAGCAAAGGCTCAGGTACTCCCTTTGCCGGGGCAAAGGAATCCTGATCCTGTTCAAAAGACACCTTCTAGAGTGGGGTCTTTGGTACCATCAAAGGGGCTCTGCAGGCCTTATCAGTGATAGCCCCTGCTGCCACCGCATCCACAGGGGCCTTTGCTGCTGGACAAAATGATCCTGAACCAAAGGCTCAGGTCTGTCCTTAACCACAGGTGCTGCCAAACACCTTATGGGAAGAATTGCAACATCTGATAGCTTCATGTAACCCAGTTTGTTTTTCCAGAGAGGATTCCAAGTTCAAGCCCATTATGGGACCTTTGATAATGAACCTCATGGAGGAGCAGCAGTGATGGTATGCCAGGATATTCCCTTCCCGGCCATCCACCTGCAGACAACACTACAGGTGAAGGCTGTGAAAATGGGCTTGATACAACCTTATACTGTTACATCCATCTACCTTCCTCAACATTATCTCAACATAGATGATTTGGAAGATTTACTTGGGCAGTTGCCTCATCCATTTCTACTTTTGGGAGATTTCAATGGTCAGAATCACCTCTGGGGAGACACTTTGTGCAACCCTCGAGGAAGGGCCTTGGAGTCCTTGTTCTCAAGAGTAGATGCAAATTTACTGAACAGTGACACACCCACACATTTCCAAATTAAAACTGGGACATTCTCCAATACTGACCTGTCAGTTGGTTCACCTGATTCACAGCTGAATTTCACTTGGCAGGTCATGGAAGCGACCACTTTCCAATACTTTTGGAGGAGGTGAATGGTATTCTAACCAATGGAGTGCAGAGATGGACTTGAACATGAGGATTTGAATCTTTTTAGATCGACTGCAGTACTGCAAGGATCTACGACTAATTTCCAGTATGTTTAAGATGCTGTTAATCACTTCACATCACGAATTCACCTTGCAGCAGAAGCATCCATTCCCAAAAGTAGTGGGCAGTACCATCGACCTCTAGTAACATGGTAAGCTGATGAATGCCAACAAGCTGTCAGGGCAAAAAAAGCTGCAGTTGAAATGTAACCTTGATTCATTATAAAAAAGACCGAGCCAAGGCCAGGCGAGTGCTAAAGGAGGTTATATGGGTGTCGTGGAGACAGTATGTATCCTCAGTTAACTCTGGGACCCCCTTATCATGGGTATGGGACAAGGTGTGTAAGATCGCTGGAAAGAACACATCCATGTCACCACCTTATCTGAATTTGGATTTGGATATGCTCGGACTTGGGAAAGGGGAGATATCCGAAGCAAGCCTATATACTGGTACTGAAGGAGTTGTAAAATATTGTGAGGGCCTGTCAAACTTCTTCCCTGTTAACTCTGGGGTGAGGCAAGACTGTTCGTTTCAACACTACCAAGAACTGGCTAATGGGCAGAGCTGCTATCCAAAGTCACTATGGAGCAACTCTGGGCGATATCAAGATCATGGACCTCGACATTGCTGACGATGTTGCTATCCTATCTGAATCTCTAGAATCACTGGTGGTAGCTCTTGATGCAAGACCAAGA